ATATCGCCCATGTACGGTAGCACGGCCTGCCCGCTCCGTTTGGTTCAGGTGGGGCGGGGCTAAAGATATGTTGATCGGGGGTGACATCCGACGGCGGTTGTTCGATTCCCCGCAGTGAAAAACATCACCTAGAGCTTGTATGTGTCATCTGGTGTCACCCATACATCGTGGTCAAACAGACGAGCTGTCGCGTGCTCTATCTCCCACAGACCACCCGCCCGATCCAGTGTTCGACGGGGTTCTGAGATCGAGGATATAGTAAGCGAAGAATAATCAAACCACACAGCAATAAGTTCCTATCACCACACAGGGTACAAAACTCGTCGAGTAAACAAACGTGGATCACGCGTGAATTGAACCTTCAATCCGGCAGAGTCCCGGGGGGAGAAACACAGATACACACGTAAATGTTCTGACTCATGTTGTGGCCCACCACACTGCTACAGTAGAGGCTCCGCCGTGCAGATTTGTCATGAACATGTACTTGTAGCAGAAAAAGGGCACAGCACGGCGGTGGCGCGTTGGTGCATTGTACATGTGCTGGCTAGGTTTTCCTCAAGTCGTGTGGTCTAGCTAAATATTTGTAGCGACTCTATTTTCCGTGACCCGTTGACGCATGTTGTACTTTCGTTTACGGTCGGGTGACGATGTTGGATCTTTTTTGTCCCGCCTGTCTTGTCTCGTGTACCCGGTATTTCCCCTCACCGAGCTGGCCGTCGACATAGATAGTCCCCGACCACCATGCATGCTCAGCTCCGCACTCCTTGAGGAAGAAGTCACACTGCCCACTACTACTGTAGTGTTATTGCACCCGCTTTGAATTGTTATCTCCCTCTAGCCCCCTTGTGCTCAAACTGTGTTCAACTATTGCCAATGTTGTTTGCACGGCAATTGTTCTACATATGGACACAATAGTGCGCTCACTACCCTCCCGTGTGGCTTTCGTCGTTCCGTCATCACAAATGAAAATTGCGTGAACGTTTTACAGCGGGAACAAAATACAGTGTATGTATGCGATTCACGACGTCACGTCGCACTAAGCCCATCAACCCCAAACAACCAATGCGAGCCGGTATCTCATCATTTTTTTGTCCTCCCCCCCGCCCACGATGTCTCCGCCCGCTGCCTCGCTACATTTCAGGCTTCGTCGCAATCACAACGATCAACAACGACAACAGCAGCGCCATGACTTCCGTCCACAAGCCCGACCTCTCCGGCCTGCCCACCTTCAACGTCGCTGGCGGTCGCCCCGACGAGCGCTTCGGTACCAGGGGCTCCTTCACCCGCGGCGTGCGCATCATGTCCGGTGGCCATGCGCGGGACGTACCGCTCGAGGCCGAGGTCGACCACGGCAAGGTTCTCTTTGTGTCCGCCATCCACAAGCCGGACCTCTCCACCGAGGCCCGCACCAACGCTGTCCGACCCATGGAGCGGCTCGGAGCCCGCGGCCGCTTCACGCCAGGGGGGCGTCGCTGGGCCGGTGGCAAGCCTCGCGACGTACCGCTCGAGGCCGAGGTCGACCACGGTAAGGTGCTCCTCGTGTCCGCCGTCCACAAGCCGGATCTCTCCGCCGAGGCCCGCATCAACGCCACCCGCCCCACGGAGCGCCTCGGCTCCCGGGGCCGCTTCACCGCGGGCGTCCGTCGCTGGGCCGGTGGCGAGCCTCGCGACGTGCCGCTCCCGCGCGTGCGCGACCCGGGTACCGTCCTCTTCGAGTCCGCCTCGGAACGCAGCAGGCCCTCCTTGTCCTTCTCGGGCGAGACCAACGTGTCCGGAGGTAGGGAGGACGAGCGCCACGGGCGGCTGGGATCGTTCGAGCACGGGGTCGTCGAGGCTCGGGGAGGGCCGCTGCAGGTTCAGGCGGCCTTCGCGAGCGAGGTGGAGCAGCTGTGGCACGAGGGCGGGCAGAAGGAGAACAAGTACCGCCGCTGCGGGCCCAGCCACTTCGTCGCCGGCGTGTCAATTCTGTCTGGCGGCATGCCGGTCTACTGAGAGTAAAGAATGACTGCTGTTGTTACTGTAACGGGAGTATGAGGCGGTTGTCATGCTGTCGGCCTCATGCGTGCTTGGTCATTCACCAAAGGTTGCTCTTTGTTGGCACCTCCGTGTTAGCGTGTTGGTCTTCCACCGGCACATTTACCGTTTATTTCTTTGTTGAGAAAGGGGGGCACTGATGAGAAGGTTGCTATCCTTTCGGGTCGTTTTATGTCGATGGGTGCCTGTGGTTTGCTACATGTAGAGAGCACCACGTAGCGGCCCTAGACGTGGATTGCCGGCGTGAGTGAATGTTGTATTGTGGCTTGTTCGTGACGAGCGTTGGAGGAGCAGACCAAGTTTAGAAGTTCGTGGTGTTGTAATTGATAGAATACTTGATAGAATTAGTACCAGTAGGGGATACAACGAGGGGCGCTGTTGTGGATGCGGTGCTTCACATCCATCATCCATACGATGAACTACTTGGAGGAATATGTTGTGGGTGTGAGAGGGCGATGTTTACTGTATGAGTGATATCCTCTGTTTTGTGTATAAAATCGTTGGCGTTTCAAGGGGAACGAAAGCGGTGTTCATCCGTATATTTATCCCCCCCTCCGAGTCTAACCGCTAGGGCGTGAAAAACATGAGTACCACCCTCCCCAACCCCCTCCGGCGCGGGATCAAAATGGGGCAGGGTTTGGGCGAATGGTGTTGTCGCCGCTAAGGGTTCGTGTGGTCGTGTCGGTATCTGTTGCGGTGGTGAACGGGGTGCGGTGGTGGGGTTTGACGTGAAGTGCATTCGGGGTTGTAAGTGTTCATTCCGAAAACAATGATAGAATAGATGTGGACTCCACTGCTGCTGTAGTGTAAGGCGTGCCTCTTTGCTGTTGTTTTGCGAGGGGGGGGGGGGCCCACGGTCAAAAGCAAACAAAAGGAAATGCGTTGAAAACACCCAGGAATAAAATTGGCGTGAATGGAAATAAAAACGTGAAAAAAAATAATGTAAAAGGCTTATTTTTTCCCATGGGGTCCTCCATGGGCGAATGGGGGGTACCGGTCACCCACACGTCAAAAATGATCGTTTCCAATGCATCGGCAATGGAAAAATAAAAAGGAGGTACCCAACTACCTATCTGGGTTGAGGGATTGTTGGTGGTGGGCGCCCACCCCCCATCGTTTTGTGCTGTGATATCGAAAGTCCACAAGTGTAACACCACCACCATCCGGTCTTACACCTTGCAAAAAAAAGGTGACATTCATTCATCCTTCCAAGCGCATGTAGTCTGGTACCACCATATATTACCGTAAACGGCCAACGGATACAAATATGAATGGATATTTTGTCAACCTTTCACCATACTATATATATATCGATCAATTGGAATAAAGGGCTCAGCTCGCCCAGCTCCAGCGCAGCCAAGCGGGGAGATTCGACCATATCTACCCACCCCACGGTCAAATCAACGTGTCATCGTCGGGCCTTCGCGCGGCCCACGTCAGAATTGCAAACGATATAATACCATCAAAGTCATGGCATTGCGACTTCCCTACCGCGGGCCTCGATCGAGTGTGACACCATCAC